GTTCGCGGAATCACTCACCGACAGTTGCAGAAACACAGTATCACGCTTTCGTTCCAGTCACGTTTAGTGAACATGAACTGCAAATTTGCCTAGCCCTCCTGAGTGAGACACTGGTTGCGCGATGTTATGTGAAACATGTCCTTCAGAGACGAAGGAGCGTGCAGCTTGTAGGTCGATGTATACAGGTAACCGACGAGAAAAACTACCACTGACATACCTTCATGCAGCAGCGATTGCATTCTTCTATTTATACCGTCAAAGCTAGTTGTTACTGAGGCAAAGTACCGGAGAAGGAAACATCTCCAGCTCCGGCACATTTAACGGGCTGTATGATGTGAGCAAGGATGCAATGACAGAAAAGTGAACAAAATGATCCGGAATCGGTCAGCTCTGAAGACCTCACACATCAACCTGGAAATTTTTTAGATTGTTTTGAGGCGCTCAAGGCAAGTAATAGGATTGTTGTAGAAGTTCGAGAAAGTGTGTTGTAGATAGAGACTGTCTCTCACCGTCAACAGCAAATCGAAACCTGTCCTTGGCTGGTAAACGCATGGGCTCTAAAAGAAGGTGCTCTAGTGGCTTTCGGGTCTGTACGGTTACTTTGGAGCAGTTTCGAGGTTTTCGGATATTGTTACCGAAATAATATGCTTCTTCTGCAGTAGGATCTGAGTCAGACTGTGGCGATTAAAGTGCTAATTCGAAGGAGCTTTATAGCCTTTATTAGGATGTCTGTGAATCCAGTTCAGTACAGGTTTTGTCAAAGACGAGTAGCTCGTAGTCATTTTTCACTGGTACCAAGACAAAAAGCATTCCATTAACAAACGGATCTACGCCAGTCAGATTATCTAAAAAAAATTATGCTGTATCACACCACTCCGCATCCGCCGGTGGTAAACCAGCACATTCCTCGATCTTCTGAATTCTGAGGTGCACCAACGTTTCCAGATGGCTGGTCTAGGTCCAAAACGTCTCACAATTATGTGCACGCACCTGAAGATGAATTCACGTCAGGTGGGCGTATTCGCCACACCCACTTTCACAAACCCAGTATCCACAACACATTTTAGTAGATAACAGCAGGTAAACGTGTCGCTGTATCAGCCAAACGAATTGTGCATCTACAGTTTTTCAACTAGACAGGACAACTGCACGATAAGGCCGGTTGCGCATAGGTCAGTGTGGGGGTGAAAAACCCTCAAGCATTTGCTGAAATACTCCCATGGCTGGTTTAGAAGCTTCCATAGCCTGTTCTTCAGGATCCAAGCTAGACTTAGAGGACTGATGAGTGCAGCGTACTAAACCTGCAACCGATGGAGATAAAATCTGGATCGCATGTTATGAAACCACATGTGGTGAAATCGTAGATTCGACTGAAGTTTAATCGATTCATCGTATCCCTCAGACATCTTATGATTTTGTGTTAAGGAGTGAGTTCACCGCCTGGTATTACACTTGGAAGGTAGGTACCTGTCATGACACCACTTGGCCGGGTGCATAACATCTGTTTAATCCTTGATGCATGTGATGGAAAATGCAGTTGGCCGGATTCAAACGGGGTCCAAGCCCTTAGCCTACCAGTCAAATGCAACATTGTATCTATTCCACTTAATGGACAGTACATTCTCCTTCACTGCCTTTGATGCACGGTTGAATCAGGTTGGACAGTGATGTATACGTTTCGACAGCTCACTAGACCATTTTATCGTCCGCGCTCCAGGTAAGATTCGTGTGGACTCCAACTTAATTTGCCAATAAGTGTTTGTTCCCATGTACGTCCTTCCAACTTGGTAGGAATTCCGATATTCCGCCAAGTTGACTGTTTGCGCTTCGTATGGGAACGCATCCTTGCCTGTAAGGTGTCACGAGAACAAGTTGCCTGACAGTCTGAGTTCACAAAGAGGCATTAACAGTTACAGTATGCGTCCTTTACCTGCTTAGCCATCATGATACCTGTTGGCTCTATGTATGGCTTTGACACAGGTTGGTTCCGCAAACCATCTAGCGGACTGCTCGATCATCGACGTTGAAAAAGCCAAGCATGCGTACGTGAACAGGGGATTCAGTTTAGACTCTCCGTTCTTGCACTTCAATGATTAGTCCGACACAGGTTGGTTCCGCAAACCATCTAGTGGACTGCTCGGTCATCGACAGTGAAAAAGCCAAGCATGCGTACATGAACAGGGGACTCAGTTTAGGCTCTCAGTTCTTGCACTTCAATGATTAGTTCTGAGCTCAGTTGGGCTAACAAGTGTCTCTCTCCAGAATTGATATTTTTTGGTTATGTGATACGGCGGACTTCAGTAGCAAATCATGTATTTGTGAAGACTGTACTCACGTAGAGGGCTGATCCATAGAAATCATCCCACCACAGTGGGATTTCATGTTCCCCAGAAGGCAAGCAATCGAACCAACGATTCCGAAAACACTGCTTGCTAGGGATGGGGCGGACTAGTGTGTAAGTAGTCTCAATCAGCCGTGTTTTTACTTCGGCTTACCCCCCATCGATTCACTTGTAACGACCATATTCACCATTTTTACATCGCACCTGTCCCATCACGCGGGCCTACCCCAAATTCGGCTTCATTCGACGCATATAGACTCGATCTTCTGGATGTCTATTCAAGGTTCATCCACTATCTGTTTAATTTCGCATTGCTTTTTTGGGATTAATATACCGAATCATCTCAAGCGCGGTTATAAGGTTTTTGAACTCAGCACTAACGTAATGGATTCAGAAACCCTATTGCACACTACGGATGCATCGCAATAGAGCATTCTTGGTACAGACGAAATGGGATTTCATTTTTAACGATAGCACTCTCCATAGAAGACAGAAACTGTTGGAGAGTTGAACCAGGTGACACGTATCACTCAAAGGCCTAAGGCGCTTCTTACCAGAAAAGTTGTAAAAGTCTGAACCTGCCATGCGAATTCGAGTTGTAAGTTTTCCTACCAAGAGTGTTGCAATCCGCTTGCTGACCTCAAAGCCCTGGAGCAGTTTACAACTAACGAAAACGAGCAAAGTCCGAACATAACGCGACGGAGCACTGGCATGTCCAACAGAGTGGGACTGCATATTCGTGTGAATGTTCCAAGAGATGTGGGGTCTTACAAACTGACTTATCCGCCAAAGACCTGTTGAAACTTTGGGGAGCCAGACAGGGTAGGCCTCTGTTCAATGATCCCAGAGATATGCCTGAGTGATGCACATCCTTCACTGAAAAAAAGGTGTGGATTATTTTAACGATCTGTTTACTACTGGTGAATGCTCCGATTGTTTGTCTAACCAGCCATCGATCTTTAAGTAGGAACCACCGACTGGTAGACAACGGGTTTAGAAAATCAGCCAGGGGCTATGATAAGAACACGATGTGAGCCTCCAGGGGTCACATTTTTCAGTTCAGCTTTTAGTCAATCTGCGAACTGTACATCCCAATCAAGTGTCAAAATCCGAATGCTTCGAAAAGCCGATTCTGTGCGAATTACAATGTATTCAAATTGTATGTAACATGGGAAATTCCTACTAGCTCATACTCTGCGCAACAAGACGAGTCGGGTTTTGACACCTTTTATTAGTGAATGACTTTCTTGCTTGGTTGGGCCAACGATATATGAGTGATCTTTTTCAACATTTTCCTATAATCACCGCATGTTGACTTCTGCTGCTCTTACACTATCCAATTTACTTGTTGTCTCTTGTCCAAATCAAAGCACATTTTGCCGCACGGAATACAACGGAGTGTAGGATCTGATCAAATGTAGTCGAATATAGTCGGTTGTAGTGGTAACAACTTGCTGCGCCATAGGATCACTTGATGGGGTATGATTTACTTGATTTTAGTGAACTTAGCGAGTGGTCCATCCCTGTTCTGACCCGGTTCAAATGTGTTCACATGGCAGCCGTAAACGAAAGACGTATCCTTGATGTAGTGTAGGGGACCGACTGAAGTAGACCAAAGTGTCGATACTACGATATAATCTCGGCTGATTCCAGAGGCGAACCGAACGGAAGATGAACAGCACTGTCTTCTTTGTTTTGTTTTTCTTGTCATAAAAACTGCACTCTTAATCCCCTGTTTTCAATCAGGCCATTTTAGATCAAGGTTCGGATAATGAACATCAAATACCGAACAGCACACGGAAAAGTGGAGTTTGAATTCACTGTCAGTGCTAGGATGAGATACCACAACTGACCAATGCCAGCTGGTGGTGAGTACTACCAAGCAGGTCGAGTTTGACTTTGGTCAAGCTGACTTTGTGTCCAAAAGCAGTTGGACAGTGGCCGAAATGTGACGTTAAAAAGGTAGACTGGTAACCGGAACCGGGTAGCGAAATGACAATGAACCTTGAATACCGTTACAGACGCGTATAATCATCGTGGCGTTCTACAAAATTCGAAGTGGTGCCTTCAATGTCTCGTCCAACGGTCACGGTACAATCGACCCGGCGGAAAACAAGGTCTGTCTTTAACGTTTAAGCCAAAGCCTTCAACAAGCACTTCACTTCCTCGCAATTTCTTGTTGATTCGTGAGCAAAGCAACTTGTACATTCAAGTCACGGTACAATCGACCCGGCGGAAAACAGGGTCTGTCTTTAACGTTTAAACTAAAGCCTTCAACAAGCACTTTACTTCCTCGCAATTTCTTGTTGATTCGTGGGCAAAGCAACTTGTACATTCAACTGTAAAGCCCTTTCGGTGCCCAACTGCCATGCCACCGAAGAGAAGTACGAGGACTGTCAGGTTATCCAAGCACACACGAGAAACCGAAATGCCAATGTTTGGTTCGAACTGCGGGCCTTCTGGTGAGGGAATTCGCACCTTGGTCAATGAGCTATCTTGAACTCAATCACCTATCCTACTGGATCAACAGGCCGGTTGAGGCCTGTCCGCGCTGTAGCAATTGAAGCCACTATCCACGACGCCGGCGGTATGGAGCACGGGTGTTTGGAAAGGCGGATAGATATTTCATCCGAAGACGAAACATGTATTAACGACAATGTGAGTTTACAAGACAATAATTTCTCGTCTTAAAAAGGCTAGGCGCAAGAGTATGTACAAAAGATAGCTGAGCGTACTGTTGTGATGGAATGAGGACAAAATGACTGACCTACAGGTTTATCTTTGGTAAAATGCAAGCCAGATGATAAATTGGCAAAAAGTTATAAACGGAATTTCAGGGATAATATAAGCCCCGAAGTAAAGGGAAAGACAAAATGAAAGCTGAATAGAAGGGGGCGTGCACAGCATGTTGAAACAGCATCTGGACGACGCATGAATCACAGACATGTTGAAACTAAGAACGGATACTTCGATATGGCAATGTAGAACAGAGCTCTGGTTAAAGTCACCGTGAACAAAATCAAGAAATATCTTCTAGCTGAAATTCCAAAAGTAATTCATTTAATTTGGCAACTATCGGTTGGAGCATCTTCACACAATTGGCAGCACCGGATAGTACCTAGAACAAAACAGTGTAATCAGTACTGATAGACAACAGCAAAAAAAGAATAACCACAGAACTGCATAGAGTAAAATTTGCACAACGGTGTGATATTATGGACTGGTTAAAAAACATACGACAAGTGAAAGTTACAAATCCACCGCTAAAAGCAAGTCAATCCGTAAGATTTTTGTCTGGATGTGCTCCGCAATGTTCCAAAAAGTACCAACATAAGAAATTCAGTCTTACTGATAGGAACGTTGAAACGCTCCGGTAGGAGGTTTTAAGTGTTCAACTTTGTGAGATGGCGGAAGAATCAAAGGTAGTGCCTTTTCTACCAAATGCCACCACGGTGGCCACAGGAGCCATGCTTAGAAGACGGCATTGTGTTCTTTCGACGTAAAAGAGCGAAGAAACAACCACCTTCGGCATGCTTTTCTATCGTTCGACCCTACCTTATTATCGAACCGAAGTACTGTATCCCTACACAGCAAGGATATTGAGTGAGCCAATGAGCCATCCCTCGCCAGCAGATATGCACTGCCATGACTTTATCCAAGTTATTCACTACAACTTTGTTTTTTCGATAGTCAGGGATGATGAAAGGCTCCCTGTTCGTTCGACTACTGGGACTCGACCATATGTAGCTTGGGCTCATCAGCACTGCCTGCTCTTTCTCCTTATAACAATATGGAACGATTTGTTTATTCTCACGAGGAGCCCACAATCCAAATTGGGGCTCCATCACCATACAAAAAGAAGTAGACGTTCACACCAAACGTGACCAGGAAGATTTTCATACAGATCCCCTAAATCTGGTGGAAATGTTAGAAAAGGATCGTTCCAACGAAGCTCCGTGAATACACTGCAACCATACGATACGTTCTATCAATTGCTCGAATGACTGGGAGAAGCGATGGAAAACCTACGTGATAATGTGGATGGTTGTTGCGATCCTGTCCAACGTACCCGAACTTTTTGAGTTCACAAAATCGTTAATCGTATGGACATATCAACCATTCGAAGCGCTGTAACCAGTAATAAGCAGTACGTAAAGTAACCACTTGCGTCCTTTCCCATTTCCATTCAAACTCCCCCCCCTAGTTGCCACCCACTGGAACTCCCGAAGAGGAGGACAATGACACAGAGTCTACCAGTGGTGGACGTTTTCAATAATGATGATGGTAACGATCGTTCAGCTGTAACACCCTTCTGGTGCCTAGCTACAATGCCACTCGAGGGCTGAGTACTTCCAGGTTGCCCAAGCCCAGACAGAGACAGTTGACATGTCAGGATAGGATTCGAAACACGTACCTTCCCGTCAGTGAATCTGCGCTTCAAACACTGAGACGTCTCGGGCTCGTTTTTCAGTAGCAGGCATGAGTAGCGTAAACTAGATGTGAAATTGACGTAGAACAGATGATGATTTGGAAGACCATACAATGTTCGACCGAAGAGATGGAGTCCTTGGACGAGACTCAAACCCGTTACCTCACTTCTACTGAGCGAGTGTTGTACCAGCTGAACTACGGCCGATACTGCCCCAGTACTGTCATCTTCAATTGATTGACGCCCTTTTAGTTTGTCAGAAAGGGGGGGGGGGGGGGGAGAGGGAGCTGTCTCCTCGATAAGAGCTGTGTCCTCCTGAGGGAGGGGAGAAGTACGAAGAAACTTCTACGTCTTTTGCACCCGCGTAATGGAAAGTCCGGTGTTCTTGGATGCTTCCATTGACGTATGGCACCTTGTAATGAAATTAGTCACCTCAGCCTCAGTCCATACTTCCATAAACTGGAATATGTGACATGAGACATGCTCCTGAAGCTGAGGCGCGCCTGCATGCTCGTCGTTGGAACCTGTCTCGGAAAGGGCTTGTGCTGACTAGCTGGGTCCAAATCAGTACCAAAAATTAAAATTATTGTCTAGCGAAGATGTGGTTTGATATTACAGCAAAAGGTCAAATACTAGGAATGGAAGAAATATACATATTGTCTGGCTTCTGTGACTCATTCGTTTTCCGACTGTGCTGCACGCTCAGAAATGGTTCTTTCTGAAACCATTGATAATTTGAATCGCGTCACATACATAATAGGCGGTAGAGGGACAGATAATGTCGGAAGTGATGATACAGACATCAGATGTTCTTATGTGACAGTGGCAGACAAAAGGAAAAGAGCACTTTTTATAAAGGAAACCGATCATGGATTGTCGAACAGCAACCTTATGAGTAGTTTCCTTTCGCTGAGCTGGGCAATTTGATTGCAAACGTTTCATCACCAATCGAGGTGACATCATCAGTGCGTTATTGGGGAGCGTAGTTGTGCATAGCGGTGGGTTAGTGGTTGTGCAAAACTACGCTCCCTAATAACGCACTGATGACGTCACCTCGATTGGTGATGAAACGTTTGCAATCAAATTGCCCAGCTCAGCGAACAATCCAAGGACTATGAGTGCACTTCTCCAAAATTCAATAAAGCGCGAAATTCCATGTATCTGAGAATAAAACGTGAAATAAGGTGAGTTTCTGTCTCGGACCAAAGTGACCCGAAACACCACAAGTTTACGATTTTTTGTAGGGACACTTTGGATAATTCAGACTGGTTTATTTTCACTTTACTGCTACTACTATGACAGCTACAAACCGGAAGAAGCCGAACCGCAATCTTACCAAAGTCAAACTCGAAAAACAGGCAAAAATGACCGATTTTGTATCTTATCCACTCATCCGACCACTAGTTCCGTGCCAGTTCTCAATTTGAATGGCCTTGAAGCAATCGGTCACGCGTGTGCTGCAGTCACATGCGTGACGGAAGTTGACGCCATGCGACGGATCAATAAACAAGCGCAAGAAGAAGTTGTCTGCTTTTCCAGTCGCCGTTTCAATAAGTTAAAAATCGAAAAAAACGACTGAACAAAGAGAAAAAGTGCACATTGGAGAACCGGTAATGAGTTTGCCGAGTTTAGTTAAGTTTATCAGCTATGAACCATGTAACAAGAGTACTTCGGTTTGTGCCACCTGAGTTTGGATCGCCAGAAAAAGGGAGGGCAGGAGAGATATAGTCAGGTATTGGAGGTGATGGCAGAACCAGTTGTTTGCTGTTGAATCTGCCCAATTGCTTGAAGAAACGAGAAACTGGGCAGCTACAAACTGAAAACAATAGTTCTGAGGCAAGGGCACCACTGGCTGCTTGACTGAACCATATCTGTCAGTGTCCCTAGGAATCAGTGAATTGAGTCTCATGGTACCTATCCAAAGAGATGGCAATTATCGACTGAGATTACTGTCTTCATACTTCGTTACCAAGTAACAGCCTCACCGATTCTCGGTCGTTTCCACTCAGCATAGCGCTGGGCAAAAAGAGTTCTGTGGAATACCCGGTCCTCTGACAAATCCTAACCAGCGTAAACAATGAACCACGGGCAGCTCAACCAACCAGGAGAGCCCCTTCGTCCTATCTCAGCATTACCACGTCAATGTTTCGGCGAAACCAACTACAAACGCCTGGAGTTTCCGTACATCTTATGCGCGCAGACGCCATGCTTCTGATCCACAGAGCAGTTTGAATCGCACGATCATAGTGCACACAGCCGCAAAATAGACAGACTGACTGCACGACGGTGCCATGATAGCGATTTTGACACCATGACAGTTCTTTGATTTCAATGATCCCTACCACGAGTTTCCTGTGAAGTATATAAGCAAAAGAAGCTTCCACTCCAAATAGAGGCCGTCAACTGTTGCAACATCGAACTTGATGAGCCGTTCAATTTCCCTGTGTATGAAGTGCAAACTAACTTTCAAATCGAACGACCGATACCTCATTATCTTACTTTTACTAAACTGATGCTCAAAGTTTCGGTCAACTCAGGCAGCCTTCATTCGGAGCGAAATGATCAAAATCATATGGACAAGAGGACACGTGTAAATTAGTGCCAACAGTGCAGTAACCAACATTCTATGCGCCACTCTAATTAGTCAGACACATGTATGGACGTGCGAGTCGGGCCTGGAGAGCCACATGTGCATGTTCAGACAACAAAATGTCATTGGCCTTCATTTAAACTGACAAACGCGGTTTGGAAATGAATGACAATGGATTTCACCCAAGCCACTTTGGCTTTGCCGAAAGTACTGCGTGACTTTCTGCCAGGCAGTAAGTACAATTGCTGAGTCTTCTAGTTCGTGAGGTTGAGTACTATTCTGGAGATAAAAACGTGTCTGTTACGCTCAGCGATGAGTACGCGCAGTTCTCTCACAGTTTCGCTAAACTACGTATTTCATAAACGCAATCGGTTTGATCATTCTCCTGTGGGGGCTATTTTAGGTGCACCAAGTACCCGCGTTTTATGTTATCTGGTCGGATCACCACGCGTATACTAAATTGTGATAAGATCGTGCGTATCACTTCGGACGTGCCGTTCCTACACGCGGCATTTGTATAGTTGTTTGGGTCATTTTTATGCTTTCAGTTGGTCGTAGGTTGCTTCGTTTCATCGTGTTTCGAGCATATCGGCACTCTAATACAATTCATTAGGGGCTCTCCTATCACATCAAAGGTCGCAAATATATTTCTGGGATATTTGGAGTCGAAACTAGAGGAAGTAGGTGAACACTAATCGCGTGTGTTGGTGAAGGTGCTTACTTTCAGCAACACCTTGTGCAGTGATGTGACAAGAGACCCACAAACATTCATTGCGTTCCTAGATCGTCTGATCAAAATTAGCACAACTGCGTGGTATGAGCACAGTGCAGTCACCCCATATGAGCACATCCACTCTCTGGTAAACGATGGAAATGGTAAAACCACGGAACTAGAAGGAATCACTTGTCGAGCGCCTAAAGGGGTACAGGACTATCGAGCAACCTCGCGCTTTGTACAGACGGTGAGTATGAGAATAATCTAACGTAATAAATTGTCCTTGGAATCACCTTATGTGGCTTAGTGTTAATTTATACTTTGGATAAGTTGTGCGAGTAGTTATTAATCAAAGTTGGTATCGGAAACACTTAACGTGGTGTC